TCTCAGGGAGAAAGTTTATTGTGTCTGAAGAAAACTGAGCTCAGTCTGCAGCTACATAGATGTAAATTGACCTCACCACCATCTAACTATATGATATCAGATATGTCTGCTTATGAGAAACAAGAATGGTATGCTCTCCTGTTTAGCACAAGGGATGAGCTTTGAGTTCAGGTTAAATTTAGTAAAGCAAAACATGGGGTTTCTCAGCTGCCAATGGGATGTGCGGGATCCCTTGTGTGTTTCTGTACCTTTAAGGAGGTGGGGCTTCCTCCTGACAGGCCTGCACCCAATTTGATATCTTCTGCCCCCATGTGCTCCAAGATGGAGACTCTCATAGTTTAGAGTTAGGACCGCACTATAAGAGGTGCCTTGGCGCGGCAGTGCGGCTTACACATCCTTTGCAGAAGACGTGTATCCAAACCTCTGTCATTGTCTTTAGTGGTGAGACAAGTTGTTTTACATGCTGGTTTGTGAGTGTGCCATGATGCCTTTCTACTGTTCAAAGCCCATTTCGTGTGCACCTTACTGTATAACTGGTAACAAATTGTTGAGTGCGTTTGTCGTTTGTTTTGCTTTACCGATTTGGTGCAGCGACGCATGGGGTTTCTCAGCTGCTAATGGGATGTGCGGGATCCCTTGTGTGTTTCTGTACCTTTAAGGAGGTGGGGCGTCCTCCTGACAGGCCTGCACCCAATTTGATATCTTCTGCCCCCATGTGCTCCAAGATGGAGACTCTCATAGTTTAGAGTTAGGACAGCACTATAAGAGGTGCCTTGGCGCGGCAGTGCGGCTTACACATCCTTTGCAGAAGACGTGTATCCAAACCTCTGTCATTGTCCTTAGTGGTGAGACAAGTTGTTTTACATGCTGGTTTGTGAGTGTCCAATGATGCCTTTCTACAGGTTAAATTTAGGCCCCGTTCACACCTTTCCGTTTTGTCGGGCGTTCAACGCTCTATGAACGCTCTACAAAACGTACAACCATGAAAATCCCATTGTTTTCTATGGGTATGGCTCACACCTTTCCGTATTTCCGCCCGTCTGAACGCCATTGTTTTCCATTGGGATACAGCCAAGTAGCCTTCGGAATCGCGCGGTAAAAAAAACGCGTGACGGTCGCACGACAGACGTGCATACGTAATACGCCTAGGTGTGAACCCAGCCTTAAAGTTGACCTGAACTCAGCCTGTTCACAGTTTGGCTAACAAAATGGCCAGATTTGGCAAGTTACCTGGCCAAACTTCTAGCTGATGCAGCCCAAAATCTGTCATTTAGTGGAGGGTATCACTACTACCTCTAAATGACAGATTCCCACCAGCTTCTGTTTCAAATTGTAAACAAGCTGGTGGGGATTGCAGATTACATCATTGACCAAATATGGTCTTGCCCATATTTGGTCAATAAAGTTTCCCAGGTCCCCCCATCACTTTGTTTACAAACAAAAGCAGGCCAGGCATTATATACCGTATATATACACTATATTGCCATAAGTATTGGGACACCCCTCCAAACCTTTGGTTCAGGTGTTCCGTGAAATTCCTTGCTACTAAATATTCCGCGGTCAACTGTTAGTGGTATTATAACAAAGTGGAAGCAACTGGGAACAACAGCAACTCAGCCATGAAGTGGTAGGCTATGTAAAATGACAGAGCGGGGTCAGCGCATGCTGAAGCGCACAGTGCGCAGAAGTCGCCAACTGTCTGCAGAGTCAATAGCTACAGACCTCCAAACTTCATGTGGCCTTCAGATTGGCACAACAACAGTGTGTAGAGAGCTTCATGGAATGGGTTTCCATGGCCGAGCAGCTGCATCCAAGCCTTACATCCCCAAGTGCAATGCAAAGCGTTGGATGCAGTGGTGTAAAGCACGCCGCGACTGGACTCTAGAGAAGTGGAGACGTGTTCTCTAGAGTGACGAATCACGCTTCTCTGTCTGGCAATTCGATGGATGTGTCTGGCGGTTCCCAGGAGAACGGTACTTGCCTGACTGCATTGTACCAAGTGTTCAGTTTGGTGGAGGGGGGATTATGGTGCGGGGTTGTTTCTCAGGGGTTGGGCTTGGCCCCTTAGTTCCAGTGAAGGGAACACTTAAGGCATCAGCATACCAAGACAATTTGGACAATTTCATGCTCCCAACTTTGTGGGAACAGTTTGGGGATGGCTCCTTCCTGTTCCAACATGACTGCGCACCGGTGCACCGGTGCACAAAGCAAGGTCCATAAAGACGTGGATGAGGGAGTTTGGGGTGGAGGAACTTGACTGGCCTGCACAGAGTCCTGACCTAAACCCGACAGAACACCTATCATCCAACATCAGTACCTGATCTCACAAATGCGCTTCTGGAAGAATTGTCAAGCATTCCCATAGACACACTCCAAAACCTTGTAGAAACCTTCCCAGAAGAGTTAAAGCTGTTATAGCGGCAAAGGGTGGGCCAACTCAATATTGAACCCTACGGACTAAGACTGGGATGCCATTATTATACAGGATTTATATAGCGCCAACAGTTTGCGCAGCGCTTTACAATATAAGGAAGACATTACAATTACAATACAATTCAAGACAAGATGGTAAGAAGGGCCCTGCCCCTGAGGACTTACAGTCTAAAAGGGAGGGGTAGTGATACATGAGGAGGTAGCTGTGTGGGGATGAATTGTTTGATAAAGTGATAGTTCAGTGGTCAGGTTGAGGTGGGATAGGCTTCCTTGAAGAGATGAGTCTTAAGGGATCGCCTAAAGGCAGTCAGAGTGGGAGACAGTCTGACCGGTTGGGGAAGAGAGTTCCATAGGATGGGAGAGGCTCTAGTGAAGTCCTGGAGGCGAACATGGGAGGAGTTGATGAGGGAGCTGGAAAGTAGAAGTTCATTTGAAGAGCGGAGGGGACGGTTAGGGTGGTACTTTGAGTACTTTGCTGCTCTTCCTTTTAAATCCGTATCTCTTCTCATGCTGGGCAGAACGTCTGTTTTGCAGCAGACTGCCTTGTCTCTGGAATGGATATATGGTCTCTGTGTGTAGGTTCACAACCTGAGCCAGCACTACAGGAAGAGGCACTCAGCTGCAAAGGGAAGTTCTCTCCCAGCATGAGAAGAGATACAGATTTAAAAGGAAGAGCAGCAAAGAGAAGGGAAACAACCATGGATTACAGTAAGGCGCACATTACAGTATTGGTTTATGTTAAAAAATCTGAGGGTTTAATGTCACTTTAAATAAACAATTGCAAATTCGCCTTAAAAAAAGGCAAGAAAATAATAAGAAGAGTTGGCTCCCACAGACTTCAGTGGGGTTTGGCGCTACGGTTGGATTTACCAGTTTTTTTTTCCTGGGTTTGCCGAACTTCCTGTGGCCTGTGAGCCCGTTCACTCATCAATATTGGCAAACATATTTATATATAAAATACTTTTGCAAGGACCGCTTACAATTAAAGCAGAACTTCAGGCAACATTTTTATTAACCCTTGCAGTGGGGTTAAAATAAAAAAATTATGCTCATCCACACCTGAGAGCCAACCGGCTGTCACAGCGCTCCCACCTCTCTCCTGCTATGCTACAGCGATGGTATGTCCCTTGGTATCTTCACATCCAATACATAGTGTGTTGGACGTGATGAATTGAGGTTTCTTAGACCGATGGAGCAGAGGGAGAGCAAAGCTGGAAGAAACGGTCTAAGAGCAAGCCGACTCCAAGGATCAAGCCGGGAGTTCTTAAAAGTCTGCACAATAGAGTCAAACTGACACACACAATGTAAGATTACATCAGTCATTACATGCTGATGTCCCAGCATGTTTTTGGATGGCAGCCAAACACACAGGAAGGACACAGAAACCCCCATGAAGTTGAGTTACTGGTGCAAACTGAACTCAAAATTTAAAGTGAGCCTGTCATGTTGATAGCCCATGTCCTCTGCTATTGATACCTACTAGGGATGCACCGATACCAAGTACCGTACTAGGTACAAGTACAGATACTTTTCCAGCTCCAAGACTAGAGAAAAATTCAGAAGTTAGGAGGCCGCTGTCATGTGTAAGGAGCACACGGAGCTCCCGGGATTTGTACATCTCTATTTTAATGTATGATTTTGTTTTAATAAATATAAATAAAGGGATGCACCGATACCAGTTTTGCGAGTACGAGTACTGGTACTTGCCCAAGTACTCACAGATACGAGTACTGATACATTTTTGTTTATTGTCATGTGACAGTTTTTCTAAAATAATATCGACTAATGATTTCAGGACAGTGGTGGAGCGCCAGAGCCCGGTCCCAGCTGCAACCCTGGTAGTTCTCATGAAAGTATCGCCATTGGTACTCGAAAAGTATCGATGCATCCCTAATACTTATCTTCCCCATGCTCCCTCTGCCAGTGCCCTGGGATAGGGAAGGAAGGGTTAGACCCTCTGTCAAGATTGTATTGCTGTGTGTGTCCCCTTTGGGGAGATTCATTCCTCTATTTGTCCTGGTGCCAGAGAAAGATTACTAAGAAATCTTTCTCTTTTGATGGCCCCCTTCTCTTATATCTGCACATCAGGCGCCTTCGCCATTTTCTCCTCGTCACCCTATAGCCTGCACATCTGAAATTTGTGCACATCTCAGCTGAGATAACAAACGTCACGTCAGTGTCAGCGCTCCCTCCTCTCCATCCATCGCAGCTTCTACACTGTCTACAGCTGAAGGAGCCCTCGGGGATGGCAAACCCCGCCCACCGGTGACTTCCTGGTATCTGTATCAGCTGTCAATCACTCCCCCGTGGCACCTCCCCCGTCCTCTGCAGACCCCGGCGGCTATGAGCGAAGGGGCGTGTCCACAAGGGACGTGGGCGTGGTTTGGTGGCCGTGTTGCTGAGCGGTGTCAGAGACTCGGGGAGAGAAGAGGAAAAGGAGGAGAGCGGAGCAGCAGAAGCAGCAGCAGTAGGCGGTCTTCCCCTAATCTGTGCTCATCACGGTGTATGCAGCCCAGGACGATAGGCTGAGGCTATGAACAGATGTCTTTATAGCAGAGATATATAGAAACATTGTAACAAGTGTTAGAATTCTATGAATATTTATTACTGATCCAGCACACACATAGAGAAGGGAGTTGCAACCATGGCACAGCCACAGAAGTTCTTTGAAAACCTGTCCGGGGCTGGTAAAGCGATAGGAGTCCTGACCAGCGGAGGGGATGCCCAAGGTAAGGAGATCACCATTAACCCTTGTGTTACTGCATGCCAGTCTCCAGTGGGTGCACTGTCATCATCTGCTGTGCTCGGCTGGCACAGTGGTCTCTGTGTTGTAATGTTATGTGCATTGCCATAGTTTAATATCCAGGTGGCATCTACATCCTAATGGCCTGGTGCCCACCTTGCCCTGTGGCTGCTCATTCGTACTGTCATCGATGCCAAGGACAGCCCTGGATTTTCCTGAGATCTTACTTTTCTACCATGATCTGTATCATAGTACAATGTATGGGACAGGTACTGTTATTCTGCAGCTGATTGGCCTAGTGCCCATGTGCCACCTCTGCCTACTTGGCAGCAGGCGCCTCTGTCCTTTGGCCTGGGGTGGTAGTAGCGGCGCTATGGTTCTGGTTAGGATGAACACTAAACTGCGTTTATGCAGGACATACATGTATCCATCCCATCAGTATTCCAAGCGGATCTGGGAACTATCAGCCTCTTCTTTTTTCTATATATTATTTCAATTCACTTCAACCGGTTTTGTGGGATTGAATCAGAAATGAAACCAATGTGAAATTCCGATTGATTGTGCGCCGTGTGGTCCAGCTGACTGATTCAGAACCACTTGGATTTTCTTTATTTTTTTCTAATAAACTTTTGACATGAAAGCAAATGGATTGATGCAGGCCGACGTGCCATTCACGCCACATTCAAGGATCCCTGTAGACATTTGTGCAATTGAAAAGATTTGATTGAGCGGTCGATTGCATGAAAAAAGTGATGAGTATATGGCTGGCAATATAGTAAAGAAATCCTATACATACCAGGGAGAACCTATAGCTGGCATTATAGTAGAGACATCCTATATATACCAGGGAGGACCCATAGCTGGCATTATAGTAGAGACATCCTATATATACCAGGGAGGACCCATAGCTGGCATTATAGTAGAGACATCCTATACATACTAGGGAGGACCCATAGCTGGCATTATAATAGATAAATCCTTTACCTACCAGGGAGGGCCTATAGCTGGCATTATAGCAGAGATATCCTATACATACCAGGGAAAACCCAAGGCTGGCAATATAGTAAATAAATCCTTTACATACCAGGGAGGACCTATTGCTGGCATTATAGCAGATAAAGCCTTTCTATACCAGGGAGAGCCCATGGCTGGCATTATAGTAGAGAAATCCTTTACATACCAGGGAGGACCTATAGCTGGCATTATAGTAGAGTCATTGTTATTTACCAGGGAGGGCCTACGGCTGGCATTATAGTAGGGGGATCCTTTATATACCGGGGAGGACCTATGGGTGGCAATATATTAGAAAAATCCTTTATATACCAGGGAAGACCTATGGGTGGCATTATAGTAGAGAAATCCTATACATACCAGGGAGGACCTATGGCTGGCATTATAGTACATAAATCCTTTATATACCAGGGAGGACCTATGGCTGGCATTATAGTACATAAATCCTTTATATACCAGGGAGGACCTATGGCTGGCATTATAGTACATAAATCCTTTATATACCAGGGAGGACCTATGGTTGGCATGATAGCAGAGCTATCCTTTATATACCAGGGAGGACTTATGGCTGGCATTATAGTAGAGAAATCCTTTATATACCAGGGAGGACCTATGGTTGGCATGATAGCAGTGTAATCCTTTATATACCAGGGAGTACCTATGTCTGGCATTATAGTACATAAATCCTTTATATACCAGGGAGGACCTATGGTTGGCATGATAGCAGAGCAATCCTTTATATACCAGGGAGGACCTATGTCTGGCATTATAGTACATAAATCCTTTATATACCAGGGAGGACCTATGGCTGGCATGATAGCAGAGCAATCCTTTATATACCAGGGAGGACATATGGCTGGCATTATAGTAGAGAAATCCTTTAGGGAGAACTTATGTGCAGGTCTGGAAGGCATATGGCTGGTGTTTCTATGGCCATCATGATATAAATAGTACAAGTGCCACCAGTATTTCCAGTTTTGGCCACAATATGCAGACATAAGATGACCTTTTAGCAGTCTAATCAGAGAAATGCCAGTCATGCATGGCAGCTCATTAATTATCAGATGAATTTGATGCCACCTCCCATGCCCATAGACCATCAGAGTGCAGTTCTGGGATCATGCCATTGCTATGACCATCAGATGTACATTCAGATCTTACTTCTGTGCTTATTCCCCAATAGAAGAGGAGAGCTGTATGTACTATGCACATCAGCTAGCACCTGACAGCAATATGAAATATTACAGCATTAAGTGAGGAATATTTTCATATATGGAGTCCATTAGAAGACGGTAGTAGTGGAGATGGGTCCCCTATGACAAGTGGAGGAGGAGGCGGATCCCAGGCAGAGCCGTGCTCCGCCGTCTTGATGCTGCTGCATTGCGGGCTTTTCATTGCAATGACTAATCCAGCCATTCCTCACATCCTCCTTTTATCTTCACCTCCCACTCACAGCCTGTGTCTAGCTGCCATGTCACAAGCCTTCAATTAACACTTTCAGGAAGAGTACTATTACTACTGCTTCTGCTGGGCAACATGTGGTTCTATGTTTAGTGTGGTACTACAAGTCACAGCATGTATGCCAGGAAATGATCCAAGTCTGCAACTTGCTGAAATAAATAGTGCAAGTGCCACCTGTATATCCAGTTTTGGCCACAATACACAGACATAAGATGACCTTGTAGCAGTCTAATCAGAGATATGGCAGTCATGCATGGCAGCTCATTGGTTACCAGGTGCATACCTCCCATGCCCATAGACCATCCGACTGCAGTTCTGGGGTGATGCCCAGAGATCTAATCGCTATGACCATCTGCAGCTTGCTAAACACACACACTGATCATTCACAATGGTCCTCGCATTCACAATGGTACTCTTGAACACTTGTCTTTGCACAGGATCAGCTGGATTTACATGTTATTACATGCGTTTATATGCGTTTTGAGTTTCTAATCAGAACCTGGATGCACAGAACTCTATTTTCTCAAATATAGACTCACCTAAATGCAGGCAAACACAATTTTTATGGACGGTTCACACCAGCAGCCATATTACAATGCACAGCTGCTGGTGTGCCTTGCCAGACACAGTGCCGGGAACAGCGCATTGCACTGTTTACCTTTATTTTTGTTAGAACTTTATTGAAATGTCACAAGTGTACCGCATCACACAACACTGCGCTGAAAAAAAGTACTGCATGCGTTACTTTTTTTTTCTGCACAGGGGTGGTACGAACAACCCCTCATTGAAACAAGGTAAATTGCCTTGTCTAGCATTGGGAACTGCGCTGGAAAAAGTGCCTCAACGCATCTTGTGTGAATGAGCCTTTAAATTATTGAAAATCTTTATATGTATATATGTATATATATTTAGAAATGTCCTGCGAATGCATACTTGGCAATGGTGATGTGAATGAGGCCAAATAAGAGGTCTTGACTTATCTTCTATATCCTCTAGCTTCTATATTGATACCATTAAGCATTCGCGTTTTTTCTGCACCGGATCAACGGACAGAAAACAATTGTCTTCCGTGTGCTCTGTTCACACTGCAACGCTGCCTTGCAGTGCGTTGACATGTTTCATTTTTCCGCACTGCACCGGAGCTCACCTGAACTCACAGCACTGCAGGTAGATAGATGTGAATGAAATGTCACTTTGACGTGTCAATAAAGTTTTTTATAAAAAAATTAAACATTTCCTCACCGCAGCACAGCATGGACACCAGCCTGCACGCTACAATGGAACATTTTAGTGTGCCGGCCTCGTGTGAACATACACTGACTCATTCATTCCTTGAAGGAAACAGACATATAATAAAGAGCCATGTTGGTGTGAAATACTGAATTCTGTGAACTTCATGTAATGACAGCATTCAGTAACTGGACTCCTCTTTGTTATTTCACATCCTTTATATAGGGGCCAAGCTGTCCAGAAAAAGTGACAGTGACGTGGCCAAGACACGTTGTCACACTGCCAGGGGCGCTTTAGTAGCTGCAACAACAGGTTTTCTCACTATAAATCCTGGACTTCCTCAACCCCTGTCACTGTCACCTCTGCTCACTGTCCTCTGATATGTAAATATGGATAAAAATTGCATATAAAATAGTTTTCAAACATATAAAAAATGGAAATAGTTGTAAAAAGGAATTCATATACAGATCAGGTTTGGTACATGTTGAAATAGTTATCAGGTTTTTTTTTTATTTTGCAATATAAATCTCTTGATAAATGCTAACTATATAACACGAAAAGCCAGTGAGGCTGATCATAAATGAGAAGATAATACATTTATATTTTTTGCCTATGGCAACCGGTCTAGGGTATGCTGGAGCAGATAGAATCTGGAGCAGTTGCCCATGGCAACAAATCAGCTTCTCCCTTTAGTTCAGTTAAAATGAAAGATAGACGTTGATTGGTTTCCGCGGGCAGCTGCTCCAGGTTCTGTCTGCTCCAGTTTTGATGATTTGCCCTCCATGACAACTAACCTGCACTACAAAAAGCTGGAAGGGGTTGCTATGGCCAATGAAAGCAGTTATTTGCTTCAGTTTTGTTTATTAACAATAATTAATGTAATAATCTCCCTGCAAAGGGTTTTCTCCCTCTCTTTGGCTGCAGTGCTTATTTTTTTCAACAAATTGCTTGCGTAGAATGATTACAATTACAGGCCATTTTGTTAAAACTGAATTCTGGAATAAGCAAATATTGTCGAAATACAAGAGGCGTGTGTTTTCTTATTGGAATCTTGGTGACTTTGTGTATTTATTCCAGATCTGTGCAGTAATGTTGTAAAGACCGGTCACTGCTGCTCTCTCTCCTTGTGCAGGGTGACTGGTCTGGTCTCCGCCTCCTCATGTAGTTTCTGCCCAGTTCTGGCATAACAGCTGGAGGGTCGGAGTTGTCCACCCTTGCTTTACTGAAATGCGCTCTTTTAACCCTTACATATGTGTTTTTGATGAAATACACAAGGCTTTAGTA